CTACCTTGCAGTTCAAACGGCTTTGCAGTCTGGAGCATAGAAAGCACTTAAAAAATACATAGTAATAGAGAACTTAAAAGTCAAATACATATGTAGGATACTTGAATGGATAAAGCAATGTGGGACAAACTTTCATTTTAAAAAACAAATCTTGAATAAAAGGCAACACATGCTATAAATGATCACCAAAATTAATTCTATCATCAAAGGGCATTTATTAGGTATACATACATCACAGTTTAATTTTATTTCAATAACTCCTAAATTGAGCTCCTTCAGGCCCAAAATTACAGCATGTAAATCCTCTTATGAAGGATATATGAGATTGTATACAAACTGAGGAGCAAATATTTCAATAAACAAAATAAAACTTCGATTCTTTTACTATTAGCAAGGAAATGTCCAGAAAACAATTAGGACAATTTCAGATGACTCCCTGTGGACATGAGTAAGAAATACATGGAAACATCAAGAATCTATTGGGACTCAGAATTTCACAGGATGCCTATACTGACCCTAATGTAGCCTCAGGTCACTAAGACTTCAATATTGATGTATTTCTATAATTTATAAAACTGCATATCTATGTTAGTATACGGGACTCTGGTGAGGCACTGTAGGATAAACGCTGGGCCACCAGGTCAGTTTGAACTGCAAGGTTGGTGGTTCAAACTCACCAGTCACTCCTTGGACACCCTATACAGGATCGCTATGAGTTGGGTCCGATTCAACAACACTTAACAACAACAATGTTATTATACATGAGAAAAATGAGGCTTTCAGCTCACATAAAGATTTACAACTCCAACAACACCATCTGTACCGGGTCCCTATGAGTTGGCATATAAAGCAACATGCCATTTTATTAATATTAATACTAAACACTATTCAAAATTAGAAATGAAAAAGTCAAATTTTTAAATCTAAATAAAAGATTTAATATTTTCTTAAAACTTTCTGGAATGTATACACATCATTTCATTTTGGAGACTATAGTTTTAGAAGATCTTATAACATTGTAACAAAGGTGTATATACACAAATTTTAAATTCAATGATATTATCCCAGAATAAAAATCGATAACACCCCTTTTTCTATGAAAGATGCCTTGGTAGTCTAAATAATAGGTTATATGGGAAGCTTGGTGTGGCAGTATATGATCAGCACTGGACTGCAAACCACAAGGTCAGCAGTTCAAACCCACCAACTGCTCCTTTGAAACCCTATACCGGGTCATTGCTATGAGTCGGAACCAACTTGATAGCACTTAGCAACAACAATGGGAACCAATATAATCCATTAAAGAAACATGTGAACCCTGATCTAAAATGTTTATGCTATGAAAGGCTAAAAAGAATTTCTCCATCCTGAGGGAGAATCACTCAGTCAATATTTGTTTTGTTAGGCACTGTTTCAAACTCACCAACTACTTCTGTTCCTGTAGGGGTGGGAAACCTTTTTT